CGTCCCGGCTTTGTAGGGATGCGAGGTCAATGGTCTAACGACTACGGCATGCACGACTATGAGTACACCCCCCCCCCCAGGTTGTGCGCTTTATTCAGTTCAGCTGCATGACATTGATTGGCCTACAACAAAAAACATAGCCAGCGAGGTATTGCGGGGTATTGGCCGAACGAGCTCGCGTCTAACACGCGCTTCCCGCGCTCCTGAAAACGGCTCGACAGGCGCCACCGGACCGCAAGAGCATTGGCGCGGAGGTTAACTACGGCGTTCGCTTCGATACCCAGGCACAAGCGGATGGCTTTCTGTCCGAGCTAGCCGAGGAGCTAAGTAGGAGGATGGTGGCGGAGGGGGTGTTGGGGCAAGCTCTGACGCTGAAGATCATGAAGCAGCGAGACGTGAGTCAGTTGTACGCCGGCTTGGTTGTTGCTGTCGGCTTCTTCTGCCTCCTGGTATTCTTGTCAAGGGTTGTGTGTGTATTGTACTGAAGCCTCTACCGCGTCCCTCGGCTAGGAACCAATGGAAGTCGCCAGTCTTGTTGCTGCTCTTATTTACGGGAAACGTTTCTGATTGCCATGACTTAACAGGCACACTCTGTTTCTTTGTGAAGGGTGTGTGCGTACTTTGGCTAGCCTCTACCGCGCCCCTCAGTTAGTAGCAAATGGAAGTCGCCAGTCTTGTTGCTGCTCTTTTTGTACGGAAAACGTTTTTTTAATTGCCATGACCTGACAGGCGCACCCGTCCCTCGACCCTTCTTCCCCAACACGACAAGCACTTTCAACGCAAGGACATGCGTCATCCTCACACGTTCAACAGAAACGCTCTACAAGTACGTGATTCTTCTTTTTCCTCGTATCATGCAAACACGCAGGGCGTCGGACTCCCCCGAAAATACCTTGGACACGGCGTCTGCGACGCCCGTTCGAAGCTGCTAAACCTCGGACATGCTACCGCCGACGCAGCCACCCTCAAGCCGCACGCCCTGCAGCTGCTCAGGGAGTGCAAGGTCCCCCCTGGCAAGATCAGGGGCATCGGGCTGCAGATGACCCGCCTGGTCCCAGGCGGCGGTGGCGGCAGTGGAGCGGACGGCGGCAGAGCAGGGTCTTTGGGCGGGTGGCTAATTAAGCCCGGCGCCGGGGGGGAGGGGTCGATTGATCCCCTTACGTCTCGTCATTCTGCGCCCCCCCCCAAGGTCGTTGTTACTTCTGCCGCAGCCGAAGAGAGGGCGAGCTCTCGTTCGGTGCTGGGGGATGCTTCGACCCCCGCCTTACGAGCCAAAGACGAAAATGTCAAGCCTTGTGACCTGGGGGCGGTAGCGGAGGAGGCGGCAACGGTGGACACCTCAGATGAGGAAGAGGGGGCTGGTAGTACGGCAGCTGTTCGGCGGCAGTGCACCACGACGATGGCGGCGTCGGTGACACCCTCTGGCGGTGCGGCAGCCCCTCCCCCGAAGAAGCGTCGTCGGGAGGACGAGAAGAAGCGCGACGAAGAAGCGGGGCCGTGCGAGAACAGCCTCGAATCTCCCGGTCAAGACACCGGTACGGCTTCTTCGCTACCAGTCGTCTCGGACGCGGCATCCGCACCCACGAATGCCGCCGGAGGCCTCGCGGCACAAGAAGCCGAGGCGGGCGGAGCAGCGGGAGGTTCGAGCCCGTGCTTTGACAGCCCCGAGTCCGCCCGAAAGCGAACGGCGGCCCAAGACTCGAGCACGTCCGCGGATGGTGCGGGGTCTTCGCGGAATGCGTCGATCGGTGGCTGTGCCACCCCCCCAGCACGGCGCGGGGCGCGAGGGACGACGAGGGGCGAACAAGCCGAGCCCCCGCCGCTACCCCCGACCGGCATCGCGCCTCCTCGGCAAGCGGGCGGCAACAGCGGAAGATGTTCACCGGGCGGAGGCTTGTCCCCTCCCGCGATACGGCGGGCGGAGCCGGCGAGCCCGGGGTTACGGCTCTCGCCCCCGAATACCCCGGTGGGCAGGACACCGCCCCCGATCGGGTCGGCGGGCAGCCCTTCCATGTCACAGGTGAGGGCGGCACCGGGGTGGTTGCTGTGCAGTAGGCTTCGCAGGGCTTTTTTCTAATTTGCAAACATGTTGGATAAAACACGCAATCGGGGAAGTTGGGATAGGGTAAGTTAAGTGTCAGGGATTGTGTCTGCGACTCCCTCCCCGTTCTATTTCCTAACAAACAATAACATTCTCAAAGGCGGTTCTTGCTTGCCTGTACAAGGTAGAATTTACCTGACCGGTCGCCCTGTAGTTGGGCCGCGGTGAGCTCGTCGAGACCGCGGGCCCCAACACGGTGTCGGTACTTAATGATGAGGTGTTGTAGGTTGACTTGGGCTGCTTCGTGACGAGCGACGCTCGTTCGATCCTCCGCACGGATAACACATGCTCGTTATGCCCTCTTCCCTATGCCTTACCCACCGCACCACTTACCGTATATGACACAAGATAACACACCCCCTGAATCAATTTTCAACGCTCGATTACTCCACGACGAAGAGGATGCATAAACGAAACAATACATTTTTGGAAAGCTCTCGAGGAGACGGTTCCAACGCCGCCGTTTTCGGCGCCGTGACTCTTTCTGTTATTGAGAAATCGAGCGTTGAAAATCGGTCCAGGGGGTGTGTTATCTTGTGTCATATACGGTAGTCGTGCGTTGAAAATCGGTCCAGGGGGTGTGTTATCTTGTGTTATATACGGTAGTCGAGCGTTGAAAGTCGGTCCAGGGGGTGTGTTATCTTGTGCTATATACGGTAGTCGTGCGTTCAAAATCGGCCCAGGGGGTGTGTTATCTTGTGTCATGTACCGTACGTAGAACCTCTTGCGTTGCCACTTTGCCCGAGACCCACTCCATATTGCCTCCGTCGTGAAAACGAACGGGAACTTGCGGCACAGTGGTTTAGTTACAAGATCTCCGTCTTGAGTTCTTAGCGTTTTTTCGTTCTGCAAACGTGCGGACTCGCACGATTTTCGCCGTGCCAAATTCCGACAGCAACTTATAATAGTTTTTTTGAGTTGGAGGGTATTGTTGGTGTTTTGACGGTTGGGTATTTTCCTCGAACCCTCAATGTGTCTGTCGGTTGTTTCCTTTTCCGCCCGTCTACGTTCCCGGTTATGTTTCCGGTTATTCTGCCGGTTATTTTCCCCGTCCGGGCGTACCCGCCCGCCAGATCCCGTTTTCCCAAGCGGTTTTCCCCACCCGCCCGGGTACTCTGCCGTTTATTCCCCCGGTTATTATCCCGATAATTTTTCCCGGTTATTGTCACATCCGTGTCCGCCCGTTTATTCTCCCGCTTTTTGTCCCCATTATTCCCCCGGCCATTTTCCCCGTCCCGGCCTACCCGCCCGGCGGCCAGATCACGTTTTCCCAGATCGACAAGACCGTCCTCGGCGCTTTGCCGCCGGAGCTGCGGCAAGAGGTCATCTCCCAAGTGGAGGCACGCAAACGGCAGCGCCAAGACGGCATCGTCACCTTGCCGCCGCCTCCTTCGCACTCAGGAGGGGGTCCAAGCGCGCCTCCCTATGGCGAGGGGCGGGCGGGTGCTAGAACTGGTCCGCTTTCGAGGGAGGCACCGGGGCAAGGCGGGGCGGCTGGGGGCGAAACGCGGGAAGTGGTCCGCGAGGGATTCGACACCGCCGACAGAAGCGGCCCGGGTAAAGTCCAGCAGGTGAGTTGTCGTCGTCGTCGTCGTCATCGTCGTCGTCGTCGTCGTCGTCGTCGTTGTTGTGGTTTGTCTTGACTTTGAAAAAGGATCCGAGCTCCTCTGTACCTTCTACCACCCGTGCCGGTCAGACGCAGATGCCTTCAGCGGTCGCGGGCACATCACCCTCGAAATGGTACCATATGCACTGCGAAAATCAACGAGAAATGAATGGTCCCAGACATGTCAAAACACCTTACTGAGGTCCACGCCTTGATTGTACGGGCTGTTCACAAGAGGTAGAACGGGGTTGATCGGGCTATGCGGTACAGTAGGGGGCCCGGTATAGTGGGATCAAAACCTATTGTCACAGTCTCAGCATGTACATAAGCCCGGTGTGTCGAATAGTGGCATTGCCCTGTGGTAGCTTTGCCGTGAATGGTGGCATACTGTCCTGTTGCCCCTACATGGCACTATATCGGGCCACCTACTGCTGTACCAGCGACAGTCGTCGTTCACCCCTTCGCCGCCAAATTGTTTCACGGTCAGAGAGGCTACCAATGTTGCCGAAAAAGGTGGTTGTAATGCTTTGTACACTTCGAAATTTTCTTTGCCACGCGTTAATTTTTTTTTTTTAGCACCTTGGTTCTGGAATAGTCGACTTTTTGGGGAATTTGTGTGCGATGACTCTCTCGTTTAACGGTAGCCGTGTAGTACTCCCGTGCGCTGGCAGCGTCGTCCGTACCCAAAAGAGGCCCCGCGTTTGTTCCCCTGTGGTCAGACGTGCCAACCACACGAGCCCCCATGAGCCGACCCACGCGCCAAAGTGCACTTGAGAAAATGAGCATCAGCTCCACACGCCGCCCCTAACCTCGCCCTCCCGTGTCCCTTGTTTCTCGGACACGGACGCCCAGGTCAGCATCGACAGCTTGTGGAGCCTGCGAAAGCTTACGGAGGAAGGCGGCGAGGGCGACGAGCTCGGCGCCGGACCGCCGTCGGTCTTCGACCGAGACTCGCTGCGCGCCCTGCCCCTGGGGCTCGGCCTCCATTACGCCTCCCTCACAGAGAAACAGCGGGCACAGGTCGCCCGCCGCTACTCGCAGGCGGTGGGGGGCCACGGCCGTAGCAGTACCGGTGGAGACGCTAGCCGTGGGAGAGAATCATCCCCGTCCCGGGGTGGTCATGACCTACCCTACGCGAAAGCCTCCGTTGCAGGCACGGCCGATGCCGTTGTCGACGACGGAAGCAGCCTCCCGCCTCCTCCATCGAACCGGCCACCGCCGGCTTCTCCGGCGTCTTCTCCCGGGATGATGATGGCCGTTTCCCCGGAGGCCGTCGGGCAGGTGTCGGCGCTGCCGGGTGACGAGCGGTCGGCGGCGGAGCCGCCGAGATCGGCGGAGCTGTTTCGCCTTAGCCTCTCGCAGGTGGACCGCGACGTGTTGGACTGCCTTCCTTCGGACGTGAGGGACGAAGTGCTCAGGAATATTGCCGCGAACGCCGGCGGGAGCGGGGCCGGCGATGAAGGCGGCGGCGGCAGCGGCAGCGGCAACATCGGTAGCGGCGGAAGAGACCACCACCAAGACGACCAGGGCTGCGAGACCACCGTCAACGCTTACGAAGCCCCGGATGACGACCAAGACGGTAGAGTCGACATGGAAGACGTCGTAGACATTTGCTCACCTTCCCTTCAAGAAAAGCAGACAGCGACCGGCGTGGTTGGACATGGCGCTTTTGACGCGGAACCCGCGGGCACGCTGAGGGGAGTCTTGCGACGGTGGATCGGCGGCGCGGTTCGGTCGCCTTCCCAATGGCACTTGGAGCTGCTGTACAGGTAAGTTTTGTTTTTCGCTCCGCCTTTGTACTTCCACCGGGCGCACCGGGGACATTGCGTCCCACTGGTATTTTTCTGCTTGTTTGCGGGAGTGGTGGGCTGCGAGGCAGGGTGCAGGTCTCGATTGTGTTGAGACATATGCTGGAGATAGTTCAGCTCTTGTGTAAATGGCGGCCTTTTGTGCAACCGCTGGTGGACCGACAGATGGGACGTCGAAAGGCTGGGCTAGAAGAATATGACACTGTTGTCTGCGGGCGGTTGATACCGGCAAGTATTTCATGCCCACCCAACCACAAGTTCCGTCCGAATGATGCGCTCGCCATCACCCCTCGCACGAGCCCAATGATTTGATGCCCACGGTACCTCCTTCGTCGTAGTCGAACTGTTTCAATTGGAAGAGTACCGGTGTTCGCATGAGATTCCGCACTCCCCGAACCGACGTTCGAAGCTTGGTTACTCGACGACTAAGAAGATGCCAGAATCAGATGCTGCGTCTTGCGTACGCTCTCGGCTAGACGGCACCAACACCTGCATTTCAGGTACCGTATCTGTGCTGCAATGTACTCGGGCTTTGACGAGCGGTTCAAGGAGGGTGCGGTATCTTACGTACGGTAAGCGCCCGGGTTGAAGAAACGCACACATTTCGGGTCGAGGCTCAATTTCTAAATTCGTCGCCACCGTCGAGCATAGTTCATTAATTGTATAGAATTTCGTGCAGGATCCACGGCTGAGGTGCGCGTCTTAGCTGATGTGTCTTATTCATCGTCAAAATCAGAGTTTTTTCTTCCTTACAGGTTCGTTTCTTGATAGCGGTCGCTATGTACCTGCAACCGACGGTATATTCGCCGCGCAGGTACCTAGAGGACCTGGTGGAGGGCGGCAGACTCGATGAAACGGCCACTCTTCTCCGATGCGTGGGACGCTTGTCCGCGAAAGCCAGCGAAACCGCCGGTCAGGGGAAGGACGGTAGGGGTTCCGCAGTTGGTAGCGGCGGGGGTGGGTGGGTCGAGGGTTACCGGGCCGTGCTTGGAGCTGTTCAGGATCTCGTTCGTAAGAGAACGGGCGGGGCTTCCCTTGCTTTGATGTGCTGATTTTAGCCTCGACTGCCTTTCGGGGGATTCCGTCAGTTCCCATGTGATGCGGGGGCATGCATGGGTAGTGCTGGGAGAAGGGGTGTGTGTTCAAGGCGTTCGGTTTGTGCGTGGGGCATGAGACAACCCCAACGACAATTCAGGGTATTCATTTTCTGGCTGATGGGGGTTGCCGTCATAGATGTTTTCTCTCGGCATTATTATATTTGGTGCGTGCTTGCTGTGTGGACGGTTGGAACCAGAGGATCTGTTTATTTTTGTTCAGCGATTTTCGATCGTGTGTCATTCAAGCACCACCCTTCTTTTGCCTCTGTTGCGACTTTTGCGTGTTTCGTATCGAAGTTGGCGACGCTTCGCATGACCCATTTGGTGAGTTCGTGATATCATGGCCGTCCACGTCATGCTGCAATTCCTTGTTAAGATTCAACATGGAGTGGAGATCGATATACGTACAAGAGAGAGAGAGAGAGAGAGAGCGAGAGGCGTTACGATAGGGAACATTGTCTCCGGGGCTCAGCGTGAGGTGCACTTTGTGTAAAACAGCCCCGACCGGGCGACTTGACTCGTGTTTTGTGTTCGTTTGTGGACTGTTACCTTCCCACTGGCCTTGGCCGTTGGGTTTCTCGAAATTCCTGTCGCTAGAGGTGAATCCTGTGCAAGCATATGCCAAAAGATGCCTCGGACTATTTGCTGCGCGTAACATTGGATCTTGCGATCACCAAATCTCGTGAAATACATTACCCGATCGGACAATCCTTTAAGAGCTGAAGTTGTCGGGGTTTACCCGCAGGCCGCGCCGGGCCGAGAGAAATGGACGTCAGGCTAAGACGGAACTCGCGGAGAATGTTGTCCAGATTTTTTTTTTTTTTGCGGTGTTGCGCTTCTGCCGGGAAATGGCGTTCCTTACCACCACAAGTCGAGACGTTCGTACGCAAGTCTGGAGCACCGGGCTCGTAACCTGCTTCGTTGGTCGCGCGGTGTTGGGATTTCCTTGCAGCCATCGTTGCTTCGCATTGACGCTACCGATGACCTGTGTTTTCTGGGCTTGTAGAGAGCGACAGCTTGGCTGCATCGCTCGCGGCTCGACTACACTGCAACTAGCCTGTAAGTCACCCTCTTAGAGTATACCTGCAACCAGGCCTTGCGCACAACGGACTTGTCCCTAGCCTTGAACATTAACATGGAACACAAGCGTTCCCTATCGTGCGCTTGCTCCTCGACCATTCGTTCGCGCCAAAGTTGGTGGCCTATTTTGCTGCCTTCTCCTTCAATGATTCTGACTCGAAAATGTACATGAACCCGAACAACAACTCTTATTGCGAAGATGGACAGTCTAGTCTAGGTGGGAACGAAGTTTTTGCCCGAGCGGTGTTCCGCGGTAAAGACGAATTGTCTCTCCCGCGGCGAGGAAAAACTCGAATGAAAAACCTTTCTTGGATAGACTACATGTCTTAAGCGACGTTTAAAAGCATAAAAAAAAGAGAAACAAAAAAAATGTGATCGGATCGCCTTGATTGTATTTTTTCACCGCGTTGCCGAGTTCGGCGCCTCCATTTCTCCTCGGCAATCGATTCCGCTTGGCCGATTTAGAGGGGGTAGAGCCACTCAGAAAGTTGATCAGACAAAAACTTGAGGAGGGAACCGGGAATCCAAAATCCCAGGAATTCTGCAATTGCTCAGCTACTGTCAGCTTTTGAGCAGCTGGAAGTCCATTGCAAATCAAAACTGGGACATTCCAACAATATATTTGTGATCCCCACCCCAAAATTACCCTATATCGAAGTCAGGAGAGATTGAATCAACATGTAGAACGTTTTGCGGGAGGGGGGATATTTCAGTGTAATTCCTAGTAATTCCAGCTTATCCCTGCTTTCGCGCATATGTATCAGTGCGTAGCTGTATCACGGCCGCATCGATCCTGATCGAAATTCTGATGACGGATTCTTGATGCACAACACAACACTACCCTAACCTGAAAATTTTATACGATTCGGGGGCGTTCGCAACTTGCTCGGGGGGCCCGCAGACGCGATTTTCACCCAATTTTGGCCACTAATTCATCAATAAGTCATCACCACGACATCCAAATGGGAAAATAAGTAAATTTTCGTGATCCTCGTGACCTAACGGATGTTGGTACAATTTTTCAGAGGTTGGGAACCATTTCTTGCTGCTCATTGAAAAACTCGTGGAAACTAATCGTCTTTACCGCGGAACACCCCCCGAGAGAGTGTTGAACATCGTCCCTCGGGTTCCGCCTCGCGTCCCAACATGCGCGCGCACGATCTAGCCGCTTCCAAGGGGTAGGAGTTGAACATCATCAGCGAACGACGCCTTCCCCCCTCTCGAGAGTCGTGGATGTCCGACAAGGGTGTTTCCAACCAAAGCGGTCTCTCGAATCAAAGATACAGAAAAAAAAAGGGGTGTTCCGCGGTAAAGACGAATAGTTTCCACGAGTTTTTCAATGAGCAGCAAGAAATGGTTCCCAACCTCTGAAAAATTGTACCAACATCCGTTAGGTCACGAGGATCGCGAAAATATACTTATTTTCCCATTTGGATGTCGTGGTGATGACTTATTGATGAATTAGTGGCCAAAATTGGGTGAAAATCGGGTCTGCGGGTCCCCCGAGCAAGTTGCAAACGCCTCCGAATCGTATAAATTTTTCAGGTTTTCAGGGTAATGTGTTGTGCATCAAGAATCCGTCGTCAGAATTTCGATCAGGATCGATGCGGCCGTGATACAGCTACGCACTGATATATATGCGCGAAAGCAGGGATAAGCTGGAATTACTAGGAATTACACTGAAATATCCCCCCTCCCGCAACACTTTCTACATGTTGATTCAATCTCTCCTGACTTCGATATAGGGTAATTTTGGGGTGGGGATCACAAATATATTGATTGTTGGAATGTCCCAGTTTTGATTTGCAATGGACTTTCAGCTGCTCAAAAGCTGACAATAGCTGAGCAATTTCAAAATTCCTGGGATTTTGGATTCTCGGTTCCACGTCGAGTTTTTGTCTGATCAACTTTCTGAGTGGCTCTACCCCCTCTAAATCGGCCAAGCGGAATCGATTGCCGAGGAGAAATGGAGGCGCCGAAATTGGCAACGCAGTGAAAAAAAACAATCAAGGCGATCCGATCACATTTTTTTTTGTTTATCTTTTTTTAATGCTTTTAAACGTCGTTTTTTTAGACATGTATGTATCCAAAAACGGTTTTTCATTCGAGTTTTTCCTCGCCGCGGGAAAGACAATTCGTCTTTACCGCGGAAACACCCCAGAAGCGGAACCGGTGACATCTGGTCATTCAGACGTGTTGCATATACAACCTCCAATCGCGAAGTGACGGAGACGGGCACCTGTAAACGACGCCTTCCTCCCTTTCTTGAGTGGAGGTGAGGGGTGTCTGACTACTGTAGAGATCGTGTCATCCAGCCGCATGCAAGCCCGAAACGACGGAGATCACCGCCGACCATGACGCCTTCCGTTCTCTCTCAGTTGCCCTTCTCTTCGGTAAGATTGTTCCCAGACCGAGACAGATGACATCGCATCATCCAGCCGCATGCAAGCACGAAACAGCGGAGAAGAGTACCGCCAAACGACACCCATGCAGAGAGGGACACGTCTACATTTCACGAAACAAAACACAAGCACAACGTTGGCCAAACGCGTACGTCCCACACACACACGAACAAGCGTTCCGCTTTGCTATCCAGTTCCCGTTCTTCCCGCACAAACTCTTCCAACTTCCGTGGCCACAACTACGCCAGGAAAAACAGACAACCTACTCCGGACGTACGTACGTATTTGCTTTTATTTCCCTACTATGAACTCCATTGACCAGAGCCAAGACTCCAAACAACGTGCAACGTGCAAGAACAGGACAATAATAAAGACACCAGACAAAATAAACCAAAATTCCGAGGAGCAGAGCGTAATCCCTTGACAAACTGACGTGTAGTCTAGACGGAGAGCTCGTTGCCATAATCACTCACAAGATGAAATGCTATTTCACCAACACCTTGTCACCGGAGTCACACAACAAACGAAATGAAACTATTATAGGTGTTTCCCTATGAACAATCTGTGCACCTCGCATATGGCAAACGCGAGTGATAATCGTGGGCGTTCGGTTTCGCCGGCAATGCCAACCCGGAGGTGGAAAAACAAATACCAGATACGTAAAAAACCATGCATATCATGCGAAGCAGCGGCAAGCTCCTTGCCTTCACGCGCAGCTACCTCCCATGCCGGGGGGGCTCCATGCCGGCAACGGCGACCACCTTCAACTAGGTTGGGGTCATTTTTCCCAGAGTTAATGTTATGCTTGGTACCCTCTTCATAAAGTACTTCTGTACATTGACAAACCGGCCTCAAACGAGACGCCATGGCGGCAAAACAAAACTTTTACATGTGCGTAAGTCGAAGTCACCGCCGCTGTCGGGCAAGGGCTGCGGTGTCGCTGCACTCCGGACACGGGTCCCAGTCGGTGCAGGTGCCCCACTTTCCGAAGGCTTCATAGAGGTAGGGTAGCTTGGGGTTGGAAGGGTGGAGAATTTCCGTCAGGTCCGCGTTGGTGAGGAGCTCGGAGCCTTCCCCAAGGCCGAGCGTTTGCTCTGCAGACAGCAACCAGCACACGGCGGGGGGTTGGACAGGGGTGTACTAATGTTAACAGTAGCCTTTGCAAAAAAATTGTCGTATCATGTTAACATGTTGGATAAAGAATTCAATCGGGGAAGTTAGGTGAGGGATAGGGGCAGGGAATAGGGTCTACGTCCCCTCCCTTCTCTTTTTCCTCAAATGCAAACATATTGATTGCGCGAAGGCGGTTCCATGTAAACTAGTGCTGGGCATACCAAAAAAGTAATACATCACTAAAAGGGGTAAGGAACATATAGTCATGAATTACACATTACATTGCGCGGGCGTCAAGACGCCGAAAACAGGCGAACAAGATCGACCTCGGACCAGTCAACGCCAATGATATGGGGATGGAGTGTAGACGCATCGTAGAACGCGTTTTCGTTTGAAGTTGACGTCTTGTTTGAGAGTAGATGTGACAGATTTGCGTAGAATAGGGTAAGATGTTATCATGAACGGAGATGAAAGGGCTTTTCCAACACGGAGATGTAGCATGGATCAAAGCATTTGTTGGATTTCAGCTTTTACAAGCGGACATCAACGCAGTAGTATTTTAGCAAGCTTACGAACGCATATAGGATACCATCAGGATTGTCATTGGTAAGTTGAAGAGGAGATACTTTTACGATGTAAATGACAGTAGAAATAAGTCCTACATATGTTGTTGTACTTAATATTGGTTTAATATTCATGTAGAGTATGAGACATTAAGTGAAAGTTTTCTGAGGTGCATCTGCAATTGTCGGAAGGCAAAAATAAATAAATAAATTACATTTTCTTGGCGTTTTTCATTGTTAACGCGTGCGAAGGTTTCCTAACGCACAAGACCGGTAGGAGAAAGGTAAGGACTGGGATTATGGTTGTGGGCGCTTTTGCCACTGTTCGCTCTCTTGCGGCGCTACCTGCAACCTCGCCCCTTGTAATCTTGGAATGCCTTCGCCGAAACCCAACGTCTCTCCGCTACAAACCGTGCGCGTTTCGTCATCAGTCAAACAGAATCTACGACAACCACCAGCCGCAGCAGCAAAGACGACGACGACAACAAGCTATCAATACAACCAAACGCGGGCAGCACACCTGTCCACGGATAGACATCGTCGAGCTTTCCTCCCGCGACGCCGTCGCCGCAATCCGCATCCACCCACTCGAAGTCGTAGGCGTCTCGGTACCCCGGTGAGAGCTGCAGGATGTGCTGCGCCTTCTCGAACCCCGAGTGAAGCGTCCAGAAGATTGGGTCCAGAGGGGCTGCCCCGGTGCTCATCGCTCCGACCTTCCCGGGCTGGCACCCGATCACCATCATCTGGCGCAGCAGCAACATGGTGGACTCCTCGTCTAGCCGCTCTCCTTCCTGAAAACAGGAACGGGAATGGTATTGATGGGGTTGACCAACATCATCTGGCAGAGCAGCAGCATGGCCGACTGGTCGTGTGACATCTAGCCACCCTCCTTCGTGAGAACGGGAACGTAAATGGTGTTGTACTAGAGATGTTTGGGTTGATCAGCATCAACTGGCGCAGCAGCGGCATGGTTGACACCCGCCTAGCCGCTCTGCTTCCTGAGAACGGGAATGGAATGGAATTGTTAGGGTTGACCGCCATCATCTGCCGCAGCAGCAGCATGGTTGAATCGTCGTCTAGTCGCGTGCCGTCCGGCAAGGACGAGTGCAAGCAAGCGAGGGGCGGACTCATGTTTGGGCATGCCTTAACGGGACCGTCGACCACTCTCCCGAGTGAAAGGACGGATTCAAGCGGGCGAGGGAAGGGAGGGCGAATGATTGGGAGCCACGGCAGCAGAGGGGCTTGCGTCACCGTAGAGCGACAAGCGCGCAGGGGGAGGGCAGGATAAAATATTGGGAGTGGCGGCAGCAGAGGGGACGGATGGGGTTAGTTTGCGCCACAGCGGAGAAGCGTCTAGTTCGCCAACCATTTACTCGCAACAAAGGTTCCGAGTCAACCTTCCTCTGCTAAGCAGGCAGAAGCGTACCTGCATGAATCCGTACGGGTGCCTGGCGGTTACGTCTTCGCCGACGTACGACGCTCCATTGGCCCTTCCTCGCAGACTTTCCAACACGTCCTCCATGAAGTCGTACACCTAGAGAGACACAACCATGGGTGGATGCACGCACACACGCAGCGGAGTGTTTCCTACCGTAAAACAAGCCTTAGTCGTTGTGTCAGGGGAACTTGCTCCTACGTAGAGGCGTGGGTAAAAAATTACCAAATATACCCCAACTCTCCCGAACTTCACCCCCGAATCCCACAAATGTAATGCTCTCAAGAACTGTCAGAGCTGATGTAGATCATCAGAGGGGTTGCTGCTCGGCGAGCTAGTTGATGCTAGGTACCTGTGCAAGAAGAGGGAGGGCGTGCAGAAGTGACGTATTCATTGCCGTAAGAAATGGATGGTGGATGGCCCTTTTTTGATCGGCATATCCTCCGGCGGTGCCGGTGGTTGCCCACATCCCGAAAAAGACGATCGGGGGACTCGGTGCCCATACGTGTGGTGATGCCAAATCTTGACGACGACGGCAACAGCCCCAACAACCGACACAAACACCAACACCATCAACAATACCATCACCATCATCATCAACAATACCATCACCATCATCATCATCAACAACAACAACAACAATCCTGAAAAGGTACTGACCTCATCGTCAGTCCACTCGAAAGGATCAACCAAGCACGTGCACCCGCACGGCTCGCCCTGGTCGACATCGCACTGCTCGTCGCACTCATTAAAGTCCCTCATCAAGCTGTTGGAGGGCCACTTGTTGGCGAGCACATACCCGAGGGTAAACGTCAGGAGCCCTTGGTCATACTGCGGGTTCTCCTCGTGGAACTCGATCATGTCGATCTATTCGTCNGGGGGGGGGGGGGGGGGGGGGGGGGGGGGGGGGGGGGGGGGGGGGCAATGTTCCCAACACGGAGTCCCGGGATTTCCAAGAATATTCAAACGAGTTCTCACGGGCGGATAGTCTTTCCTTGGACTATATCCTCAAGTTATTGTGTAGTAAGGATAGTCGGCGGGAGGGTGATGACTGCTGGGGGTACCTTGGCGTTTATTGGACTCTAGGATGCGGGCTTGCGCGCAAATTTCTGTGCAGCGGTTATGCCCTTCCATGCAGGAGCAACGGGATCGGCTTTCGAAGGAAAGCAGGCGGCGTTTTTTTTTCGTGGTCTTCGTTCTCGGGGTCGACGCAAGTGGGATAAAAAACATCGGGAAAGTGCCCTCCCCCACACTAGTCTTGTTCTCTACCCTTAGTCTTGTTGTCTACCGTATATTACACAAGATATCACACCCCCTGGACCGATTTTCAAAGCTCGGTTGCTCCACGACCAAGAGGATTCATAAACGAAGCGTTGTTGGAAAGCTCTCGACGACATGGTTCCAACACCTTCAGTTTAGCGCACCGTCGCTGCTATATCGATCTTCGAAAATCGGTCCAGGGGGTGTGATATCTTCCGACCGTACCGGCACGGTGTCAAATCCCTTGCTGCGCCGTAGTCTAGAATTTTGGCCGAGCACACGTCTGCAGTTTTGTGTCAACCGGTCACGAGAATCGTTCGCTGTACTCCAGTGTTTGACGTCGACTAGACACAGGTCTGTGGGTAGACTCTTACGGTGGAGAGATTCGAGTCAAGCTTCCATATCGCTTCGATAGCCGTTGGCGTAAAATTGAGACCTCAAGCGTTAGAAAGCTAACCCGAACGAACTGCGGAGGCGGCGGTAGCCATGATCGACCCCACTTTCTGCCTCTCCCTGTCTTTGTCTCTGTCTCTGTCTGTCTCTCTCTTCCTCTCTGGTTTTCTCCATCTCTCCCTCTTTCTCTCTGTCTCCCCCCCTCAATCTCTCCCTTGTCAGGCATGACAAGACGGTGCACGGCCCACACACCCTTTGCAAGGGGTTGCACCCTCCATCCCCGCCTAACAGCAAGGATCAAGGCGATACACGGCGCTGTGTCGAACACAACCCAGGGTCTTGTACATCCAAGACTCACGCCCAGTCTACGCAGACAAAATGCTTTCAACACTTCCCGTAGGCGATCAACGCTTAACCTACTGCTGATGCAGTCTGCGTGGACAAATACCCAGGTTGCCGAGTCTACATACGTGGGTACTCGGAGTTTGCTATAACACCCACGGTCGTTACAGTCAGTATACTGTCGACTCACGTTGCAGTCGAACCCGCCTCCGATCATGCCGTGTATGGAGGCGTGTACCTGTAGCGCACCGGTCCACGAGAAACGACAACATGAGAGCAGGAAGGGGCGTTTTCTCTGTCGTAGAATTCCCGTCCGTGTGGCGCGTAGCCTGAAAATGTCCACTCCCAGTAGTCTGGCACGTGAGGCAATACTACAGTATATTCATGCACCTGGTGTTCCATGCAGGACGCCCAGACGTGGAAGGTGGTACTGCTCTCGAAGCAGTCCACGAAGACTTCGCACTTGGTGAACTCGGCCACGACCTCCAGCCCGCAGTAAGAGCTCGTGCGAACAACTCCCGGGAGCGCCTGTGGTGAAACCCAACCACACCGCCGACATCGATTTTTTCGTCATGAGCACCTCCTCGGCTTATGATAGTCAGGTCAATAGCTGTGCGAAAAATGTATGCCTGCAGCTGTTGCTACGGTACGTAGTAGTAGTTGTTGTTATTATGGTTGACGTCGTCATCGTTGTCGTTGTTGCTACTGCTGCTGTTGTTGTCGTCGAGGGAATGCCGCCATGTCGTATGAGTAGGACCATTTGTCGTGTTGAAACCAGATTACTTCGGACCGCCGCAGTAGCAGCCCTGCTCCAGACCACGGACGATTGTTCAAATCGGAACGTGTCTTCCCCGTAAGTGACCGTTGCCAGCTCGCCGGCACCCGGGAAGACTCAACGAAATCTCATGTTGTTTCGGCAACAACAGTAGCCGCTACAGTTCAAGAGAGACTGCTTGTCCCGCCCATGAGAGGTTCACTCAGTAGCCTTCGCGATAACATCCACCTTGGTTTCATAACAGCAGGAGGTGGGGGGATAGGTTTGTGGATAGGGATAAGTAATTCCCCCTTAGTCCAGAAAGGACTAGTGAAAAAGAAGAAAAAGTGTATTTGGGGCGAAGTAGTGCAGAAGGCCAACGGAGGCCTGGAGGGGAACGTCAAGCAGATGTGGGAAGGATTAGTGGAGTGGTAAAAAAGACCGCGCGAGGGGGTGATACAGGGGTAGCAACTTTGCGAGGTGNCTGTCTCTTATACACATCTAGATGTGTATAAGAGACAGAAGTAGTGCAGAAGGCCAACGGAGGCCTGGAGGGGAACGTCAAGCAGATGTGGGAAGGATTAGTGGAGTGGTAAAAAAGACCGCGCGAGGGGGTGATACAGGGGTAGCAACTTTGCGAGGTGTGGACGGTGGATTAGTCAGCAGTGAGAAGGGAAAAAGGTAAGTTCTAGAAGGACACAACAGTCGTCCCCGCCTCAAAAACACCATTATTAAAGACACTCCCCGCTCCCCGCTTTAAGGACAGATGTGAAAAAGTAGGGGGGGTAGGGTTTTCCACCATTCGATCTCCCCCAGAAAATGTGCTGCAGCACCTGTAGATCCTGGATCATCAACAGCGGTCTGCTGCAGCCGCACACTGCGTATGGGTGTATGGAAAGTTGCATTCCATCTGCTAGCGGTTCGTCTGCTGCCGGCTTGAAGCCATGCGGTGAACCGACGTGCCAGTTCAAATCTGCACTGGTGTCACTGGTTCATCAGTGTCCGTGCGGGCGACCCATGCACGCGTTTTGATGTCGGGGCATCGGGGAGAAAAGCACTTTTATTGCCAACGTTCGTTGTTTGCCTTGGGTGAAGTCTCGTGCGGTTGAATTTGGCGTTTGTGTCGTGCTTTGCCTCGTTTCCACCTTTTGGGAGGCGCGATGTCGTCCTTGTCGCTGTGCTTTCCCGACATTTTTGGTCTCTGTGTTTCTGCGTCACTTACATTTTCCTAGTGTCGTTTTACAACCTTCGATATTTCTCAGGTGCGGTAGCGAGATCTTGGGCAAGATATTCACGGGGAGGCCAACGCCTAAAAAATAAAAGAAAGCAAAAAATCAACCCATATCAACACCAGCGCACTACCGTAGTGTACCTGTACGATGCGTAGGTCGTACAACACCATCGCATTCAGCGTTTTGGTGGTACAGTACTGGGAAAGTTCTAGCAGGACACTACAAGAGACTTGGAGTGCCCTCGGAGAATGAAGCTTTCGACCAAGTGTTTAAGAAGGAGGTGGACGCATGTGCCCAAAAAGAAGAAGAGACATCGAAGGCAGACGTTGGGAACGCAGAACTAGAAAAGGAGTTCACTGAGGACGAGGTTGAGGTGTGTGTGAACAAGCTCAAGTGCCACAAAGCAGCAGGAGCGGATGGGATAGTCAACGAGTCCATGAAGTATGGGGGGAAGGGGATGATCCAGCTGATGGTACTGCTATTCAATTGGGTGTGGAAAAACGAGTATAGTCTAAGCCAAGTAGATGGAGGGGAGGAGTGGTTGTGAACTTGTTTAAGAAAGGAGACTGACCCAGGAAACTACAGGGGGATCACACTGTTGAACAC